AACTACCAGAGAGCACATGACTACTCCACTGGATAGCACACTGGTCTAGATTACCTCCAGCAATGCTGGTCTCCGCTAACACAGCAGGGTCAACCAGAGTGTCATACTGTACCTCACTTAACAAAACCATAGCAGTATGTAGCACCCATCAGTCATATGTAAAGAGGATTTATGTATCATGATATGCTACCCCTTGTAGGCAGTGGCAAAGGAAAAAAAATGAATGTATTTTTATAATACTTTAACTCATACTATATATATATATTATATTATATTATATAATACTTTAAACATTAATAATGGTTCAAATCCCATGGCCGGCAGAGGAATCCTACACCGTTGGGGCCCTGAGCAAGGCCCTTAACCCCAGCTTCTCCTGGGCTGCCGTAAAATGGCCAACCCTGCACTGTGGCACCAAGCTTCTCTTCCCTGTCTGTGTGCCTGTGGGGTATGTGAAAAGATAAATTCCTAATGCAAGAAATTGTATATGGCTAACAAAGTTATCTTATCTCTAAAGTGTCCTGGTGTGTTTGTGTGTGTGTAATGTATGTACATATTAAGGTATGTAATGGGCTGGCATACCTGTGCCCTGTACTCTCAGGGTGCTATGACCCTTACCAGGAATAAGCAACTTTCTGATACTGGAAGGACATAGTGATACACATTTTCTGCTGATTAATCTGAACTTAACCGTTGCTGTGAGAAACGTAACATTTGCAGAAAATTGCAATTCTGTACAAATTTTGTAGAAAATTGGAGAAAGCACCAATTTACAGTTCACAAGAAATAATCAATTGTGAACATTTTTGTATAAATGCTTTAATTGTCTTGCAGTATTCAGCACAGCATCTGGTCTTGGCTTATGCTCATTATTGTGACATTCAAACTATTGCATATTGAAACTGTACCTTTTCACTTCGCTTTAAAATTTCAGCTCACCATGAGCAATGTAATGTACCCAAATTGTAAAAAGAAGCTGCAATTCTTCCTAAACAAGGGCTTGAATTTTTCTTTCTTATTCTAATTTCATATTATACTGTATGCCAAGTTATTTCTCTCTTGTGTACTGACTGAAGCTGTGGAATGACAAAAGTCATTAACCCTGCCCCCAGGCAGTAAATGCCCTGTTGTGTAAATGGGTATCCTCCAAGCCATCACAGCCAGCAAGTAAGAATTTGTCCTCAATTATAGTATCTAGTTACATAAAGATTTAATTTTAAAAAATAATGCTTCCACAGAAGCCATTTACTAACCTTTGTTTAAAATATTATCTATCATCCTGTTTTATCATAACTTGGGTCTTATCTTCAGGACAGCAAAACCTGTGCCTCTGTTCCTGAGCTATTATCAGGTTTGTGCCTACCACAATTGTCAAGGAATTGTTTTGTTCTATAGATTTTGATTTTATTTAACAAAGTACATTTCAATTGTGATTTCAATTTTATTAATGTAATTAAAGTACTGTAAAGAGAAGTACTGAAAGGGAACAGAATCTTGTTCTTCAAAGACGTAGTTACAGAAAAAAAATGGACATAGAAGTGCATAGTGTTTAATGAGTACAGTATGTGTTACAGCTCTCACATTTATTACACAAAGAGGTGTTTTTTTATTGTGGTATTTCTAACTTCTGTTTGATTGGTTTTCATAATTTTTAGTCGACAAAGTAGTTTAGAATTACTCTCGTTTGGCAGTCTTTGCTCAATGATGGCAGCACACACCTGCATAATGTCAAATGTATTTTAAAAGTGCCAATTCTCAGCTTTATTGGCTGCTCTTTATAAAGAACAGATCTGAATTTAACAACAAGTTGGTCAGACAATGTGAAAACCTATTTTTTAAAACTATAATTTGATATTTTTATTATATTTTATAAAATAAAATTGTTACCATCGCCAAAACATAGTAGTACTAAATGGGATAAATACAGTATTTGACAATTTTGCCACATTTACTTTTGAGTGTGAATTATGCTGCCAGTGTTATCAGAACCAAGACGTTCACAATTTAGATTGTTGAGATTGAAAGGAAGTTTAAATTGTACAAAATTCTAGCAATCTTGGTCTTGGGCTCATAAGTAGAGTTCAAGTAGCTGGTCAAGGAAAAAACTCTAGATTTGTGACACTGGATGCTACATAAAAGGTTGTTTGTGTCTAGTTCAAGTTGGCTTTCACTCAACAAAAGGTTCTTAACAATGGCTATTTTAGTGCTTTCTTTATTGTTGGCTTGGGACTCAAACATCTGGTTGAAATGCTCCGAATCAAATCAACAGTAAAGGGGCCAGTATAAAGAAATAATAGTAAAGTAGAGTATTTTATAGTATTGCAGATGTGGAGAAATGCTATTGTGTGTGGTACCTCTATTCAAAACCAATTAGTGATAAATATAGTTGTCTTGTGAGTCATAGTTGTATGACTGAGGTCAAGTATTACCAGGTTCAGTGATACAACACAATCAAAGGCAAATTTAGTTTGCAACTCTGCTACTGCCGTGATTGAAATGATGGACATCTAAATAAGAGAAAATCCAAATTATACTCTGATCTCTGTGGAAAAGATATATGAAAAGTTCTTTAGTGCTGCATGGGTCTCTGGGTACTTTTGTTAGGAGCTGGACCATATGCACGCTTTATCACATAAAAAAACAATCATTCTGAGAAAATCCAGTTGAGGTTACTCATCCACTTTTTGTTAACTGTCTGAAACAGCTATCTGTTACAAAAGTTGAGGCATCTGCTGCAAACAAGTACAGCCCTGGTGGAAGAGAATAAAACAGACTGTTTATACCAGACATTTTTGCCGCTACATCACCATAATTACTGTATCTGGGAGAATGAAACACAAAAGAGTTTTCTGACAATTGTTATCAGGCTTACATGTATAACCTTCAGTGACATTGACAAGGGAAGCTGTAGAGCAATGACAATGTCCTGTGCACTGTACTCAGCATTCCCAATCTGAACAGCACTGGGTCAGATTTGTGCTTTGGATATTCTGGCAGGTGGAATAATAATTAATAATAATTCCTTACACTTCTATAGCACTTTTCTGGACACTCTACTCAAAGTGCTTTACAGGAAAAGGGGACTCCCCTCCACAACCCCCAATGTGCAGCCCAACATGGATGATGCAACGACAGCCATATTGTTCACACTACGCTTACCACATACAGCTCTCAGTGGGGAGGAGAACAGAGTGATGAATCCAGTTCATAGGTGGGGATGATAAGGAAGCCATGATTGGTAAAGTCCAATGGGGAATTTGGCCAGAACACTGGGATAACACCCCTACTCTTTTTGAGAAATTCCCCTGGGTTGTTAATGACTACAGTGAGTCAGGATCTCTGTTTTACGTCTCATCAGAAGGACAGCACCTTTTTATAGTACAGGGTATCCATCACTATACTGGTCCATAAGGACCCACACAGACTGTAGGGTGAGCACTAACACCTCTTCCTGGAGCAGCCTTAGTTTTTCCCAGGCAATCTCCCATCCAGGTATTGGCCAGGCTCAGACCTGCTTAGCTTCAGTAAGATGCCAGTTGTACAGTAAATTGCAGGCTGATATAGCTGCTGGGATGTTCAAAGCAACTGTCTTCCTTTGCTGCAGAAACTCAGGTCTGATAATCATAATGAATGTACAATTCAGATATACAGTACAAAAGACATTTATTTTGTTTCAATATTTTTCTTTTTGTTTTCATATAGTTTACACAAAATTAATTGTATAATCCACTTAATAGAAGAACATAGAATGGTGTAGGTACCAAATCCAAGAGAATACCTGATGAAATATAATTTAATGAAGAATCGCAATACTGGATATGAGTAGTATTTTAAAAATTGTCAAATAAAACAAATTTATGTAATGTATGTATTTGTCCTTTCCTTATTAATGGACTATTATTACTTTATA